TAGTTTTGTCCAGTGGAAAATAATAGCAAGAGTTGTTCATCAGGCTTAAGGGTGAGGGAAGGGCTCCTTCTAACTCCAAGCTGCTTCATTAAGCCTCATCATTCCCCCTTTGATCCCTCCTTTCATCAGCCCCCATTTGATTTTTTTCTTCCAAACCCTGACTGATAAAAAGCCATGTTAAGAATTTGAAATCTTATAAATGCCTTGGAAAGTACCCCTCATGAATCACTCACTACTTTGATGAATGTTCTAAGTCCATGTTATGAAAGGAAATTAATTGAATAAGTAATAATTTAGTTGATACTAGGTGCCAAGAACAAAACCAAGCTCTGAGATTTGGGCTCATTGATAAAGAATATGCTATTTCTTAATTTGGGGAGAAGCACCCATTATACCAGGTTAAATAAAGTGAAATAACATGTCTATGGTAGCAAACAGGTAAATATTACTTGAATGTCTACCAGTAATGGAATACTTGGATACATTTCTGGATCATCCATAACAGGGGTCTACAGAAGATATGGAATCATATCATGATGTATTACTAAATGAGAAAAGGTATTTATAAAGTGACCTCAATTTTATAAAAATAAGCAACCCAAATCGCTCTATAATTGTGCATACATGATTTCCCCATAAACATGGAAAATTATAGGAACTACATATTAAATTACTAACATAAATTATCTCTAGGTCATTGGAACAGAGAAAAATGTTAATATTTACCCTGCAATATAACTTTGCCGTTGTGCAGGGAACATGGCATGAACCTTTAAATTGTTTTGCAATTTTAAAGAGAAATTCAATAAAGGAAATTTAAAGGAAAATAAAATATATCCCCAACCCTGAAGATGCTCCTGACATCTCTTGACCCAAAGTGATGCCTCTACCAGCTTCCATAAGTGACCTCAATGCTACCTAGAACATGAATTAAGAAATTCTAATTCTTTTTGGGGGAAGTAGGGACAGAATTAGCATGAAAACAGGATTAGATTGGTTTAAGTAGTGTAACTAATCTTCTTATATATAAACACTTCTCTCAATGACCAACAACTTAAGTAGTGCTAACTAGATGACGGAATTTTGATCTTCACTCCTGAAGTGGAGGACGGTACAGTTACATAGCCCAGATTCAAATCAACCTGAACCCACTCCGAGAGCTGGTGGAGTCAACCTCTTCCAAATCAGAGGACAATAGTGGTTGACTCATGGATATCCCCTGTTGATCATACTTAAGAAAAGGACTGTAGTTTGACAGTGGAAAGAAGATTCCCTTTCGCTCTGGACATAAGCCAACCAGTTGGCCTCAACTGCTGTTCATAACCAAATTAATTCATAAATATGTCAAATCCTTATAAGGAAACGCAAATCCATAACAACAAAAATGCCTTGAATCTGCCAGGGAGCCACTGGACCAAACATGACCTAAAGTCCAACCTAACATTGATCTTTATGTACATCCCTATGTTTTCTTTATTTATTTCATTAACTTAAGTTCTTTTTTCTACTCTGTGCCACCAAAAAAACTCCTTAAAAAGTAACCCCCCTCCCAATCTATATTGGCCAGATCTTTTTAAAATGTCAAATTTATATTTCCTTCTATATGTTAAATTACTGGGAAAAAAAATGGCATTTTCCAAATCACCTTAATAAAAGTGCCCCCCTCAGGGGAAGCATAAAACCAAACTCTGGAGCATCAAAAGACCAATATGAATGGTGATTATGAAGTGGTGGTGGAAGGGGGCTAACCGCCAAAAATAAGTGTATGAGATAACATATATCAATCAATTAGTCTGACTTAGTCATTGCAATGTGTACAGATTTCAAAATGTCCTACTGTGCATTATAAACATATACAATTTTATTTTTCAGTAAAAAATATTTTAAAGTCAAAAATAACAGTTAATTTAAATAAATATTAAAGAGACCCATATGCACTTTCTTGCTGCTAACATTGGGCATTAGTCTGGCTAGGGTGTGCACAACATCAGACTTCATATTGTACTTGTTCTCATCCTGTTGTCCTGCATTGCTTGTAGGAAAGGCCACAGACACAATTCTTTAAATAGGTCATAAAACTCTTTTCAGTAGAGCAGATTCTTGTCTCCACTGCTAATAAACTGGACGGCCTTTAGCCAGCAGCAGCATTCTGAGGGACGGAAAGAGAGTTGTTAAACTCATCTTCTCTTTGGCTCCCCATTCTCGAGGTTTCACCCAGATTTGGTCTGAGAAACACACAGGCACCTCCTGAGTTCTCTGGAAGGGAGAGGGGCCATGGCTGAAGGTTGGAATCTGGAGACAGTTTGGAAAGTTCTCAGCAAGTAAGCACCTTCAGCAGCTGTGGGTGGAGACAGCCTGGCTCACTGGGTCCAAGTGCAGCCTGTGGAGTCAGATGCCTGGGTTTGTCCCAGCCAAGCTCTGCAGCACTGGACATATACTTTTTGACCTGCATATACTTCAGCACCCTCATCTGTGAAATGAAGCTGACAATTAACACCCACCTCTTAGGATTGCAAGTCTTTGGCTAAGTGATGTCCAGAAATATTTTAAACAGTACTGTGGGTAACGAGAGCTCGGGACGTATTTGCTGTAAAGATATAGGAAAAGCAGAAGCCATGACAACCTAGCTCCCCTGAAAGAGTTAAAAATGCGGGTCAGAGTGATTTTCAGGTAACAGACAAGGAAGCAAGGAGAGTAGTTATTTAAGAAGTATTATTCAGCCTTCATAAGGGGTCTACTCTGTTGCATTTTCTCATCTAAGACTTTGCCAGTTTTTGCACATTATCAATAATGAGTTTGTCCATCACATCTGTGAACAATCAGACCAACAGCAAAATTTTCAGCCCAAGACTCGGGCACTTTCCTCTCCCCATCTTCAATAAGTTGAAATTATTTTTCCAGTCTCCAAACACCATCAACATACATTCATACATACACACACACTCACACACACACACACACACACACACACACACACACACACACACACACAAACACGGCAGCCTATGGAGATGTATTTTGGGCCTAAGTATGAGCAAAAAAAGAAAAGACATTGTTACTTAAGATCAAACATTGTTTTCAAGTCTATGAGTTCCTGGAAAATCCATCCACAGTGGTGTTTTTCAGGCAGGTTAAAATCTCTGAGCTGTGATCAGACAGTGTGCCAAGAACATGGCCAGACAGACAGGCTTGGAAAACTGGAGAGAAACGTTTGTTTCCAAATGAAAAGTATAGCCGAGTCGCAGCTGGTACCCAGCAGGAAGGGCTCAGTGTGCAAGGTTGTGCTTGGGAGATGGGTTCTGCCCTGGGGCTGGGTCACTGGCAAGAAGCAACTGGGTTCTTCTCATAAGAAGAGATCACTTTTCTCCTATCTTTATTTAGGAAAAAAAAAAAAAGATTCTATGGTATTTCTGTCCCTACTGAAATTTGCATAGATTCTGCCTGGGAAGCTGGGCCGGGTTCTGACAACTCGGTTATCAGAGATCCTCACAGACTGGGTTTACCCAGAAGTGAACTCTGAGATAGAGAACCGCATGCAGAGGTATTTAAAGGAGTTTGTTTTTTTAATTAATTAATTTATTTGTTCTAATTTTTATTCATGCATTTCGATTCATAGTACACAAATGGAACACAATGTTTCATTTATCTGGTTGTAGACAAAGTGGAGTCATGCCATTGGTGTCTTCATACATGTACCTAGGGTAATGATGTCCATCTCATTTCACCATCTTTCCTACCCTGCTCCCAAAGTTCCTCCATTCCTCCCAGGCTCCCCACCACCACCCCCATTATGGCTCGGCATTCACTTATCAGAGAAAACATTCAGCTTTCAGATTTTTAGATTGGCATACTTCACTTACCATGATATTCTCCAACTCCATCCATTTACCTGCAAATGCCATGATTTTATTCTCTTTTAATGCTGAGTAATATTCCATTGTGTATGTATACCACAGTTTCTTTATCCATTCATCTACTGAAGGGCATCTAGGTTGGTTCCACAATTTAGCTATTGTGAATTGTGCTGTTATAAACATTAATGTGGCTGCGTCACTGTAGTATGCTGTTTTTGAGTCCTTTGGGTATAAACCAAGGAATGCTGGTTCCATTCCAAGTTTTCCAAGGAATCTCCATACTGCTTTTCAGACTGGTTGCACAAATTTGTAGTCCCACCAGCAATGTATGAGTGTGCCTTTCTCCCTCCATCCTCACCAACACTTATTGTTGCTTATTTAGGCCCAGACTTCCTTAACAAGACCCCTAAAGTGTAAGAAATAAAATCAAGAATCAATAAATGGGATGGATTCAAACTAAAAAGCTTATTCTCAGAAAAATAAAATAATCAGTGAGTGAAGAGAGGATAATATGTACATATTCCACAGAATGGGAGCAAATTTTTATCACACACACATCAGAGCACTAATCTCCAGGATATATAAAGAACTCACAAAACTTAACACCAAAAAGCAAATAACCCAATCAATAAATGGACTAAGGAGCTGAACAGACACTTCTCAAAAGAAGATATACAATGGATCAACAAATATATGAAAAAAAAATGTTCAACATCTGTAGCAATTAGAGAAATACAAATCAAAACTACTCTAAGATTTCATCTCACTGCAGTTAGAAGGGCAGCTGTTAAGAATGGAAGCAACAACAAGTGTTTGTTTAAGATCAACACCTGCTGAAGTGAGAAGCAGGAAGCAGGACTGAGCAGGGGGAAGGATGGACAAACTGCCATGCAGCCACAGCAAATCCCAGAGGGAGCTCTGAACTAGAATGGCCCTTCAGAGTTGTCCCCACCGAGGCTGAGGTGGCCACAACAACCAGTCACTGGATGGAGCCTCCCTGGGGCATGTTCTTGGGCATCGTGACTGTCTGTGGATGAGGCAGCCAAGCAGAGGCTGATAAGCAGAACACCTCCCAACAGCACTCCCAGCATCTGGGGGAATAAGTGCTTCATTGACAGAAAATTTAGGGCATATCCCAGGGCTTACCTCCAAGAAGAACAGGATCCCTGCTTCCTGGAGGCCATGATCTCGCCCGACATGCAGACATTAAACAACTATCCAGCAGGTGGCAGCAGCATGATTCAGGTTGGTCAGCATGGATTAGAGTAGGACTGGTTGAGTCAGGGTCCTTGGAGGCAAATAACCACCTCACCTAGAGCATAAAAGGATTTATGGAAGGGGAGATAGATAAGCTCAAGGAGATTGATGGGAAGGCCCAAGAAACTAGTTTTTTAAAAAAAATGGGCAAGAATAGCAAAAAGAAGGCCGTCATCTAGAACTTCAAAGGAGATCCTAGCATAGGAGCAGTCTGCACTGAATGTCTTTTCTGACCCCAAGAAACACTGGGTGCCTGCACTTCCATCTCTGGAGTAAATTCTGACCCATTTCACTGCTCCTCTGCATGTGGAGACTGCAAATGTGGAGACTCAGGCCTAGGGCAGCAGGTGCCCGTGCAGCAGCTGCCAGCCCTAGGGGCAAGAAAATATCTGCATTTCAGGGTTCATCCAAAGGAAACAGGCTCCTGGCTCCCACATCACTGTGCCAAGGAGGATCCTCAAAATCGAAAAGGGTTAGACACTGAGCTAAGAGCAACAACATAAATAAGTAGCAAAAACTAACCATCCACCAGGCTCAGCACTTTGGGAAATGGTTTAGTAAGAGTTATGCAGATGCTGGGGTCCCTAGGCACAGGAATGGGGTTCAAACAGTGGGCTGATGGAATCAAAGAAGACAAACATGAAAGAGCAGACAATCACTTGGACTCAGCACCTATGAGAAGGGATTAATGAAAGTTATGCAGATGCTGGGCCCAGCTGGATCGACATGGTGTTGACAGAAATCTCTGCAAAGAAACTGAAATGTACTCAGGAAACCAAGGCTGAGCCCCAGTCAAAAAATGGAGATTAGAGGGGAGAACTGAACTCAAGAGAGTGGGCAAATACCCATGGCTCAGCACAATATTGGCAACCAGACTAATCCCGAGTTCTTTCCAGTGGTAAGGAAAGGGCCCTGAAAATACAGCCACATTTGGCCAGAACCAACCAGCTTAGGCTCTGAATGGAGGTTGAGTTAAAGTTCTTTGCTTCTGCAAGCAAGTGGGGCTGGAGCAGGTAACTCCAGGAAAACAAATGACCCCGACAGAGACTTGAATAGCTTTCTTCTCTTTATCTCTATTGTCTCCACAGCTCTGCCCCAAATAAAGGAAAAGATGAGCAACATTAATTTGGTGCCAACATATTAAACACTGTGTTACTTCAAAACCTCAATAAGAGATCTGTTATCCTCATTTTCCCACTGCAGATGCTTCGGGTTGTAGATGCTAAATAACTTGTCCTGAGTCATACAGATTCAGGATTCAAACTCTAGTCTACCCTCAAACAAAGCATACCCATTTTTGGTATCTATTCTATTCTCGGTTCTTCGCCTCCACCTTATTCTGAAAGCTACTTTGTACTTACATCTCAAATGGAATTTATATTTTCATGATAAGTCAGGGTATTTGTGGTGACAGGCTTAGACTAAGGCACATTTTGCTTGATGACTTCACTTGAGGGTTTTGCAGAACTAGGGTTGCAGGTTGGGGAGAATGGAGGTTAACTTAATTGGTTTGGTGTTTAAAATAGTTTTTGCATTAAAACAAACAGATGCACTTAAGATAGGAATAACTAGGACAAAAATGTGTAATGTCAAGAAAAATCTCACGCTGTGCTACCCGACAAATCCCTGAGACATATGTTCACACTTCTTGGTCATTGGGACATATTCAAAACAGCTTTTAAGATCCACTAATTGTGAGGAAGAAAACTCAGGGTCAGTCTCAGGCACCAGACACTAGTCTTCATTCTGGAGGGTCCCCATCTTGGCACAGTGTAATGCCAAAGGTCACTCAGAAAAGCCTAGGCACTGGGGAAACTCCAACAGGAGAAGTCCCTAAACTTCCAGTATTTGGAAAGAGTGGAAACTTCTAAAGACAAAAGAATGAGTCATGAGTCCCAATGGTATAAAGGAAGAATAAGGAGACGAAAAGGAGCAAAGGAAAGCTTTGGCTTAGAGTCAGGAAAATTCCCAGGCAGTCAGAGTGGCTGGGTGACCATCTCCTCGAGGAGGGAAGTGAGGAGTCCTCCGACACTTAGCATCCAACCCAGGAGGCTCCAGCAGTGCAGCCGCATCCACAGGAGCAGCTGTGGGGACACCGGAAGGGAGAGGTGGCCAAACAGGTGGTTTTCAGCTCCTGTTTCAGTTACTGTCAGAACCCGGGTGATTCAAACCGTATGTCCTAAAAAAAACCACTCTCCTTTCAGTGGTTTGGGTTCTTTCAAAGAACCATGTGACTGAGGCTCTTGTGACAAAACAAAGTGCTGTCTCGAACAAAGCCAATTTCAACCCCTTATCGCTATGTAATGTGCTTTCTGTTAGAACTCATTCCAGGATAAACTGGACTGAAGTGGTGCTTTTTGTAAACTGTGAGGCCAAAGAACAGAAGAACATGCAAGATACCACACTGGGTGGGATCAACTTTCAGGGCAGCCCCGGGTTCTGAATTTGACAGTGGTACCCAGGGACATGTGGTAGAAAAAAAAAATGGGTTATTGCTAACCTCAAAAGACAGGGCTAAGCCCTGAGAGGACAAGCATGTCTATTTTGTGGGCAGATCTTTCATGGATGTCTTGCTTCATCTCTGGAGTGAAGAAACAGCAGCCTGGACCTCAGCATCACACAAAGTCGGGTGGTGACTTACCCGGTCACACAGAAAAGAGACTTTGAGGAAGGACTTTATCTTCTTTGAGCCTCATCTTTAAAATGGATACAAAATCTACTTCAAAACATAGCAGAGAATGAAAAGAGAAAATCCATGTGCAGTAGCTATCATGCAGCAAATGCTTACTACATGTGCATGCAATACAGCAGGTGCTTATTGCATGTATCAAAGAATGTGGTAGAGGTTCTGCCTCACGGTATCATTTCCTGGTGCATGAGTACAGTAATTCAGGTGCACAGGAGAGCCAAGCCATTCTTATGTTTATATTCCTCTAATGGATGATTCACACCTAACCCAAAGACACTGGTTCCTTCCTGATTGAAAGAAAATGTTGGTATTTTGCTAACAGTACCCCAAGTCCAGATTGCAAGGGAAGCTCTGCTCTGTTTATTCTTGATCCCTGGGACCAAGCTCAGACTTCCTTTTTCAACCAATTCCTGGCTCCAAAGGCATTAACCTATTCCATAGCTTCCAGATGCTATGGGTTTACCTAAACAAACCCAATACTAACATTTGCTAAGAAGAGATTTATTACTTACTTGTTGCAGTGAGAAAGTTAGAAGCATCAAGAAGAAACGTAACGGCTTGTGGTTGCCTTGGCAATGGGTCAGGGTCTGCCAAGCAACCTCTTTTCTTACCATGCTATGGTATTTACAGATCTCACATTTAGCTTTGAAAAGGCAACTACATGAATAAATTGGGGGTGGGGGAAGCTGCTCTGACCAAGAGAAGATCTGCACTCTGTGGCTTCAGACCTGGAGAAGCCAAACAGATTCTTTATCTCTGCTGGTTTTGTAGCTACTGCAGCATTGAGAGGGGGATCTTCAAATTGGCCCTCCACCAATTGCTCAGTGATCAGTCCAAGTCTATGCTATGGCTGTTCCTCCACTCATTAGTAATCTCTCATGAATAAAATCAGATTTTTGTTCACTTACAGGCAGTGGGCAACGTCCGTGCTGATTCCTAACATAAAATGTTGTAACCTCACAAGTAAATATGGGAAACTAGAGAAAGGACTACAAGAAACAAAGTCAGGGCCACAGAATAGTAAGTCTTGGTTGCTTGTATTTTCTGGGCCATCACAGGCTATTTCTTTTACTGCAAAGACCCAGGCTTGTTTAATCTTAGGAGGGGTCTCCCTGGTGGAGGGGTGTCCATTCCCTTTAGTTTCCATCTACCTTGCACTGATTTGCCCTGGAATTTAACGCCTGAGCTCTGCCTCATCCCCACGAGGTGTCTGTGCAGCTAGGACTTATGAGTATCCTGGAGGATTTGTAAACCACATAAGAGTGGGCATGCAAATTGCAAAACCAGACTCTGGCTCACTGAAGCAGAAAATGAATTGACTGCACAGGTATTGGATAGCTTACAGAACTGGCAAGACAATGTGACAACCAGGCTTGGCAGAAACCAAAGGAAATCCTGCCAAACTCCTTCCTAGAAATGGTCTGCCTAGAATGCCACCACCATTCTCCAGCCACCATATTCTTGATATAGCAGCACGTTTCCTATGACTCTATATCCTGCAGAAATCATTTTTAGCTGACGGTGCTAACAACGTTCCCCTTCAACAATCAAATATTGATGCTAGAGACTGTCTGTACCTGGGTCATGTAATGACACTCCGGCTACCAGATGACTGAGTTGGGAGATGATAGCCCACTTCTTCAGTATTTTGTGGAGAGAAAAGCCTCCTAGGATTGTAGAGAAAATAATCCTATTTTAGGATTTTTTCCAGGATACAAAAGACACGTCTAATTTTCTAGACGGCCAAGATGACCACTGTCCATCACTGTTCACTACTTTGGCTAAAATTTCCCCAGATCCTTCTTCCCTTCTTGAGACTTCCAAAACTATTTCTCCTGTTTAACACAATGACACCATCCCCAGGAAAAATATAGCTTGTTACCTCCCAAATTGGAGACAAAACGAAGCCTCATCTGGTACTGTAGCCAGCTCCAGGTGAGATATCTGTTCTCCTTTCTGGTATCCTCTCACTTCAACCAAGCAGAAAGCCAGTCCCCAACAGCACATGATATGTGCCTACATATAAACATGCAATAGAGCAAGGTAGCAGAAAAAGAAATTGAGGGCACACATGTGCCCCTGCAGGCACACAAACCTCCACCACGGCCACCTTCATCACCAAGGAAAGAAATGTTGCTTGAGGCCATATTTCTCATTTCTGTAATTGAGACAAGATAGCAACTGGTGTTACAGCTTAGGTTCTTTAGAATGCAGATTCTGAGATGACATTTAGATTTCAGGGTATTATTGAGGAGAGCT